CATACACAGTGCAGCTTTTGGTAACTGAGCGAGAGTGTGTGTGTGTGTGTGTGTGTGTGTGTGTGTGTGTGTGTGTGTGTGTGTGTGTGTGTGTGTGTGTGGCGTGTGTGGCGTGTGTGGCTTAACTTAACAGTTATGTGTGTACCAGTTCCCATATTATAAACTTTACTTAATAGAAATAAATCAAATTGCTGTTTGTGTTTTGGTTTTTTTGTTTTCAAATAATTAAAAAAAAAAGAAATTTGATAATTTATTCTCTGTTTAGAAAGGTCACAGTTTTACCTGATTAAATTTGCTTGGCACTAAGTTAACTCAGTATCTACTCTAGTGAGATATTCATTTCTCTGTCTCCTCCCAGTTACCAGTCTGCCTCCTAACACCACTTTGACTCATACGGCTTCATCTAAGAGCTTAGTCATGTCCCCAGGAGCTGTGGCCAGTGATGGCAGTGTGACCCTGACACTCTCAGATGCTCAGGGCATGCTGGATGGTGTCACTCTAAACCTCAGTGCACAGGTACAAATCAGCATCATATGCAATCATTTAGAGTATCTTTCAGATTTTTACTGATCTTAAACTATTAAAGCTGTTTTTCCTAGACTGTCTAATAATCATGTACAGATAATAGTTATAAAATTCATCTGTTGTTTTAATGGAGTACTTCTTGGTGTTCAGGGTCAGACATTTCCTGCTGTGCTGAATGAGTCCAGCATCCCAGGTCAACCAGTCCCACCAGACCAGCAGGTCATACTGGTCAGCCACCAGTCCCAGTCCACAAATGGATCATCTGATAATGGATATAACGTGAGTGTGTTTCTCTTGTGTGTAACTGAAGGCTTTTTCAAAAGACAGGACTTCTATATGGGCTAGGTTGATGCTCCCTTTGGCTGTTCCGGAGTCACAGATGGAGACTCTCTTACCGCGCTCATATGCGCTTTCAGACGACATCAATAAATGTATTAAAAGAGGTGTGGAAATAAACTCAGCTGCACTGATGTGTTGCTGTCACTCAAGCTGCTGATGAGTCGCAGAACGATTTTCCTCTTATTATATTACAAAGATCAAAATACAGTCCAGTGTGAATTTTTAAGGGTTTAAGTTTCTAAATAAGCTGTCTCTTCTCATGGTTGGATCTGCATTGCTGCATAGTTTGAGCCATTCTTTGTGCAGATAAGGTTTGTGTTTATTTCCTCCTCTGCATGAAGTCTAGAATGAGGAAATTGTGGGTTCTTGAAAAACAAAGAAAAACGCACTGAAAGTTTAAATGTGGTGTTTTGATTTAGGAAACCCACAGGGTGGGTGCTCCACAAAGGTGTCAGTCAGCACTATGCTGGCCCACCTTTTCAGAAGTCAACAGTACTGTTTCTGTCAATACCTCGCTCTGAGATAGAGAGGCGAGGGGTTTCAGTCCCACCTTTCTGTCTCCCTGGTTCTTCTTTGCCAGGACCAAGGTGGTCAGAACATGTGTCAGTAACGGTCCGGGGAGTCTCCTGAAAGAGCCTAAATGCACAGTGTAAATACTCTGTGATTTAATAGAATTTTTTCATGTGATAGATTACCTGTCACTGCTTGTTTTTTTTATCTTTGAAGACCTTTTGCTTCTCATCTGAGGAGCTTTTTAATTTTAAATTGAAAAGTGCAAAGATTTCATTTTTTACTTTAATAAACAGCTCATTATTGCCACCTAAAACTCACAAATCACTCTACCTCTTTTCCCTTCCGAGGTTCATAAGCGTCCTTTTGGTTTTGTTCACAAGAGAGCTGTTTTGGACACATGCATGAAGGTGAATCTTAAGAACTAAGGATACTATTTCAGGAATAGTGACGGACAATTTCTGGACAAAGAGGGATGGAGATGGTTAGAGACCTTCAAACAAGAAACTAAATGGAGGAGGTTTCTGTAGCTTATTGTACAGTCTCGCTCTGTTTGGTTCTGTTCAGGTGTGTGTCTCCATGTCAGTGTGTCCCTCACTCTTTGGGCGTGATTGACAGATCATCAGCACGCGGCTTCAGCCATTGTGGTGAAAAAACAAAACAAAAAAAGCTGCTGTAGTTTTATCGTCCGTTTGTCTGGCTTTTTGTTGTTTTTATTTGTTGCAGTTCTGTTTATAACTGCACGTGTAACTGTAGGTGGCCAGTTTGTCTGAAACCTCCCAGTATATCTGCTGATTTCAAGACGCTCCATCCAGCTTAAACTGTATGAACTCATTTCCTTCACTTCTCTTCAGGAAGAGTTTGCATGTTCTGTCTCGACTCAGCCAATCCGCAGGCAGAGGTCTGCTGTCGTCAATATCATAAGTGTACGGTACTCTGTTGGAACCGGAATTGGAAACATTTGGCCGCGTTGGAACAGAGGAGAACCACATACAGGCACACTAGTGGAGAGAGGGCTTTTGTGGTGCACCTTTGAATCTAATCATCAGTCAGTTTCAGACCAAATCACACCATCCTGCATGTGAAGGAGATGTTTTTCATGTGATACAGACCGACACTGTAATGACCCTCAGGAGAGAGGAGAGGGAGAGTGATTTATATGACTGCAGTTCACAAAAATGACTAGCTTATTAGAGTTTAAAAGCTGCCAACTTTGCATTTTTCCATTTTAAATTGAGATGGTTCTGAATAAGAAACAAGGTGTTTTTTTTAACAACGCTCCTCAAGGATCATCATGTTTTGTTTACTGTCAGAAAACACCAAACTGGAAATCTAGTTATCAATTAAAAACCTAACATAAACTTTTTCGTTTTGTCTGAAATTCAGAATTCTGGTGATAAAGGTGAGAAAGACCCTCAAACGGACTGCGAGACCCGGAATCACTGCTTCTACTGCAACCAGGTGTGCGAGAACGCCAATTCACTGCGACGCCACTGCAAACAAACTCACGGCAAAGACCGCTGTCACGTCTGCAGCATCTGTAATAAGGCCTTCAAACGAGCTACGCATCTCAAGGTTAGAAATAAAACATGTTAAACTAATAACACTTTGAATTTTAGTTCATTCTACTATTCTTTCAAATTATTTTTGTATGAAGAGATTTCATGAAAGCAGCTTTTGAGATCTCAAAGAGGAAGTTATACAGTCCTCTGTGGCTCCATTTCAGCTAAAATAATCAGTGAAGTGAAGAAAAATTCAGCAAAGTCTGTGCTCTCTGATACAAATACTGATGTGCCATCAAGTGACATTTTAGACAGACTCTCATATGTTTCACTTGATGAAGAAACGCTGAATCCAGGCAGTGTTTTGCTGCCAAACTGCAGTGAAGAGCATGTGTGCTTCTGTTTTCCACCAATCCCCTTCATCTGGTAGAAACACTTGAGAGCTTAAGAGCCTGAAAGGAGGAGGATAGGGCTTCAAACTCAAGCATCTCTTCCATTTGTCGTTTTCTACACACTGCGCCGCAGGTTTTGTCTCTGTAAATGTGTTCCACCATACTGAGCTGCGCCTGCTTCTCTCTATGACTAATGACTCTGGGATTAGGTGGATGTAACAGTCAGTGACTGAGCTCCCCAGGCTCTGAATTAGTTTCCATCTATAACAGACACAGATGTGTGATTTGTGAGAACAATAAATCAGTAAAGCTGTTATTTTTCATTTGATTAAATTGTGGATAATAATTTGGCCATTTATAGCCAGAACACCAAAATCAATGGTTCTTTAACTTTGAAACATTGACAAATGAGAGTCAGCTTTACTTTTTAGTCATTTTGTGCGTGCCAGACAGTGGTGAATGGGTTTGAGATTATCAACAAAACTTTAGACATGTGTTGGACCTTTTTTGTGATGAATCATTATATAGCCTCAAAATACAAGTTTTAAAACTTCTAAGATGTAATGGAAAGGTTTTGGAAATAGGCCTTTGACAACAGGAAGTGACCTTTTTTATTTAGAAAGCTGCATCTCTGACCCTCTTGATCTAATCAGCAACAAATTGTGTCAGAACACAGATAACAACTTCATCTCACTTGCTTTCAAGCATAAATACGTACTTTTGGTGAAAGGTGTGGTCATGACAGTGTGGCAAAGTAAGACATCACGCCATTAACATACATTTGACTTCCACTTATTTCAGCCAATCTGCACCCAGTTCACTATGGTCGATCTTAATCCACCCCACTACATGAGTGCGGTCCAATTTATGGGGGGCGTGGCCTAATTCCTCCACAGCGCCCCCTACGTTTATTTTAAATCCAGCCACAAATCAGGTTTTTTTTTTTATTGATGAAATTTGGTACACGTGTAACGTCTCAGGACCTAATAAAAAGTCTGTTGAAGTCATAGTCCAATCCCCACAGGACGTTGGTTATTTTGGATCAAAGCTGCCTATTTGTCTCCCCCTACAGCTTTGAACATGCAGACTTCACATGCTGCTTGCTTGTCTCGACACTGTCTTGTGGTGGGATGATGTGGGTGTGGCTGAGTGGCGAATGCTGATGCCTCACTGTTTGCACACGGTTAGCTCTAAATCACACATACATGATTCGACCTGCACCAAATTTGGTGTGCATCATAAGGGAGACCTGCTAAACACATTAATATGTTAGTTTGATGAGATTACTTTAGCCCACCGTCTGTCTGTTTGTCAGTCCATCTGTCTGTACACGTTATGAGATGATTTCAATAATGAAGGCCTGTGATGATTCCAACAAAACTGCTAACAGTTTCACTACTGAATGCAACGAGGGACATCAGCGACGTTGGCGTCAAGTTCTATGTTGTTGATTTTCCTTTAGTGTCTGTATATGGGATTTTTATTGTACTGTATCCTAAAATAGAAATTACCCTCTTTTTTATTTGCTGTATTTTGTTGCCTTATGACTTGGAGTTGTGAAGGAACAAGATAACGAGCACTTCAAGGCAGAGCAATATATGCCTACAGAGATAAACATCCATGCATTTGCCTTTGCGGCTGCTCATCATCCTAATACTTCCTAATAGTTCTTTCAAATTCCTCCAACAAGTGTGAGAGGAGTTGAGCTGACAAGAAAATTGCCAACAGACGTACGAACAGACAGTCTTTCAAGACCTTTCAGGAATATAAAAAAGAAGAAAATATAAGCTGTTATAGTTGGTGACCAAAGTTACTACAAATTTTCTGATCTGTTTAAAGTCTAAACTTTAACTGGGCCACTCTAAAGAAACTTTAAACCACTCAAGTGTTGCTTCAGCAGCGGTGAAATCCTGAAATATGTACCTTTGTCTCAGTCTGAATCATTTAGGTTTTTATTTTTTCTTTTCTTTTTTGAGAATGTTTAATCATCTTTTATCATTTACTTACAGTACTTTAGACTGAGTTTTGTTTAATTCTGCCATGTAAATCTGGAGGGAGGGAGAAATTATATGTGCCCTGAGACGACGTTTCAGTGCCCTGAGATGATGTATGTTGTGACCTGGCACTACATAAATAAACTGAATTGAATTGAATTATATTTATCCGATTTATGTGTTTTAAAATACTATTTCTTCATTTACTCTTTTACTCTTTTTTTTTTTTCAATTAAAGGCAACAAAAAAATTAAAAGAATAGTTTACATGCCCGGTCAGGTAGGAATCTGGACACATCCATCTACCTGAATTTGCATTTTACATAAGTGGGCACGGGTATTTGTTGAACCCTGTATGTGAGTGTCATTTGTTGATAGTTTCTGTGTGAACCAGTAATAAACTGGCCATCTGTCCAGGATGTAGCCTGGCTCTTGTCCTAATATCCAATGAAAATTGGAACTTGCTCCATGCTCCCTGCAGAGGATCAAGCAGGAATAGATGATGGATAGAAATATATTTATGTTTTCAACAACAGATTTAATATTGCCCTAAGGAACATCAGAGATTTTAAACTCTATTACTCACCTGTTTAGAGATGCTGACATATTTCAGAACATGTGAATAAATACTGAGATCATGTGACAGCTTGTTAACCTAATGAAGGAATTCTAAATGTAAAAAACAGCAGCAGTTTTTTAAAATGCTGTAAACTAAATTGAGAAATTGCAAACTGTATCCCAGATAGCAAAAGATGTTAATTCAACATTGAAATATGGTCCAAAAAGTAGATTTTTGGTTAAGGTCGACAATAGCCTATATGCCACGGACATCCGGCCCAGCACTGGATGCCACTCCCAACACTTCCGGTTCACGGTCAACACAGTGTTAGCGAAACATTTTTTTCACCCGACAACAACCCTTAATGATTTCCACAGTACCGAATTAGCATATTACATGTACCAACATTAACACAGGAGACGTAAAGATCCAGCCAATTGGAAAAAAAATCACTCCAAAGTGGATTAAAGCCATAAAAACAAAGGAAAGACGGTCCTGTTTATGGTTCCAGAATTTATCCTTTTTCACTTTTCCGTGGCTGCTTATTCCATGAATTTTTCAAGTAGAGCTGTGACACTTACTATATTGTTGAAAAGAGCAGAGTCTGGGCTTTAAATTGATGGGCTACTTGTATGGTTTGGATCGTTTTCCCCGACGTTAGTGAACTGAAAACGTAATGATTATCAGGCGGAGGTTCTGCTGCTCTCGGTGCTCGGGGGGAGTGGGGGGGGCGCTCGTCACTCGGCTTTAGTCTACGCTGTAATAAACACGCTAACAAGTTTTTACTTTTGCATAAAACTCATGACAAAGTCGCATAAAAACATTTCATATAACACAAACGTGCGCACGCACACACACACCTATCTTTGTACCGGCTGCTGTGTTAGCTTCCTGATAGCTGTCCTCTGGAGGTGGTCTTTCCTCTCTCGTCTTGGCAGTAAAAGGGGATAATTGTACATTTCCCTTTTGTAACCTCCGTCTTCTCATTTCTGATGCTGCCTCTTGCATATCCTCTAGTTAGAAATGCAGATTACAAACGCAAGCGTGAGCTTTTAAAGATAAGTTTTCCCTGTAATGCTATGATCCATCACTGTCACCTCCTCATCAAGAGGAAAATGGAAAAAAACCTAACTACTCAATCAAAAAGAAAAAAATTGTGTAGGTCTTCTGGACGGGTTCTTCTCTAATGAAACGTTTCGTCTCTCCTCCAAGAGACTTCTTCAGTCTGAGAGTTTCAGGCAAAATTCAGGCTTTTAAGCCCTGCCTCCATGTGACTGATACTCACATCACATGGCTATCGTTGACACCTAATTAACACTTATTGTTAACAGGGGGTGGAGTGATACTGGCAATAGCCGCGCTGTAGGAGGGGGACAACTGAAAACGGAGGCCTCCACCTCTGTTTAATGATGGATGTGCTCATATTTTTGCCCTCTTTGCTGGTCAACGCTCCTATTTTGATGTTATGCTTTTACTTTTCTGTGAGCCCATCTGCTTTGTGTTAAGTTTTGTCTTGAATACAACACCGTGAGGCAAATTCAGTTTTGTTAGTATTATTCTGAATAAAACTCTTTAAGCAACAATGCATCACAGAGTGACTTCAAATTGAAGAAATGACATAAGACATGAACTGCTGGCTTTGTACTCTGGTGTGGATGGTTATTAGTTTGCGTGATTAAGTTAGGACTTTCATACAATCATAGTTTCTTTTCAACTAAGGGTAGAAAATGTACCATAAAAATGTAGACAAAGTCTTTGACTCAGTGTTCTGACAACATGCTGTACAGCTTCTGTAGTTTAGTTGGTGGACTACTGATCAGAAAAATACCTTATGTAGTGTTTGCCCTGGACTGTAGTCCCAAGATGAGAGGGTAATGTAGATCTGTGTGTGTGTGTGTGTAGATATGAAACTTCACCCTATTGTTTTCTTATTTTAGCTAGAAGGAGCATGTAATGTTGAAACAGTAGAGGCTCAAGCATGGAACCTTGAGGAACTCCACGTTAACTTTATATAGCTCAGATTTGTAATGTCATAAAAAAATCTCCTGTCTACCAGGTACGATTTCAGCCAATCTAGTGTTGTGCCAGAAGTCTCAAGCCTTTTGGTTATTTTGAACGTTTTGAAGGGAGACAAAAGTTATGAACAAATAATAGCTACCCTCAGTTTTGAGGAAAAAAAAGTTTAATTCTAACAGGACTGATCAACTCTAAACAGTAAAACAGCTGGGACCAGTGTGAATTGTTGCTGGTTAAGGCCCTGTCATACTACAACGCTTTTGACAACTTATGCTGACTTACAAATTTTGTTCGACACATTGCTGTAGGTTGCAAAAGTTATGTGTAAGTTTTGAATATCATCAGTACGATGGCCAGACAATAATTTTTGACATGCTCAAAATGCTTTTGCTTATGCCAGCATGCTTCTGATAAGTGAGGCACAAGTTACAAGAAAGCTACACATAATTTATGCATCAGTTCACATATGTTACAAGTAAGTTATTCATTTGTTACTCAACATATGTCTGAAACCAGCAGGACAATTTTGAAGCAAACACTTGAAAAAAAATTTAAACCCCTGACTACCATCAGTTATGTAAGACTCATGTTCAAAATCAGTTGAACTTATTCATTACAATTCCTATGTAATTTAATAATACAGGTGAACTATGCAAACAAAATCAACAGAATCAATGCCCAAAAAAAACTATTTCACCTGCCTTTTGACCACTCCCTGATAGTGGTCTGAGGGGCCAGTGGCGCAGTATGGTATCCCTGTCTTGGTCAGTCGGCCGACTGACTGCAGATCAACTGCAGCTGCGGCTACATTGCAGTTGATATGTAGAACATTCAAACTGAAAGAAGTCTGTTTTAGTCAGTCTCTGCTGTTGGAGATGAGTTAAAAATTTACATATAATTTAATGTTGAATTTGTGTTTAATATTGTGTACAAAGACTGCTCATCTGGACAAAGACATTATGGCATTTCAGTATTTTTATTCCTTTACTTCAGGAACATGAACGAGTGCACCAGCCGGGTCCATCACCCAGCTCCCAGAAACCCAGAGTTTTCAGCTGTTCCTCCTGTTCCAAGGCTTTCGCCAAGCGCAGCCAGCTGGAGAGACACAACCGAACACACACAGGTAGGAAGAAACTGAAACAAGTCTTTACTTTCAAAAAGAAAAAAAAAAAACAAGTAGGTCCTCTGGATGGGTTCTTCTTTAGTGAAACATTTCATCTCTCCTCCAAGAGACTTCTTCAGTCTGATGAGTTTCAGGTGAACTCAGCCTTATAAGCCCTGCCTCCACCTGGACAAACAGGTTAGTCGCATGCGAAAGAGGGCCATCGCCTAACAATAGGCTTGATTGTCTCTTTTGTTGATAGAGAGTCATGCGCCCTATCACCTGACCTGTGTTGTGTTATGTAAATGTATTGAATGCAAGCGGGGGTTCAACTTCCTCTTGTTTTTGTCCCTCTTTCCCTCTTTGTGTTGGTATCATTGGGGCCCTGATTCACACCTTTTGCTCACAGGACGCTGAGTCATACTTGCAATGACAGCATTGTAGGCGGAAGACAACTGGACACGAAGGCCTCCACCTCTATTTAATGGTGGATGGTTTTTCTTTACAAAGATGGCTTCCTTTACTCCTCTCTCAAACCAACGTTCCTCTCTATCAAGGATGATAACATCTTCATCCCTGAAAGAGTGACCTCTGGCCGTAGATGAGTGTAAACTACAGAGTCCTGACCCTACGACGTAGCTCGTCTGTGCTGGCTCATTCTTTTGAACAGTGGTTGTTTTGTTTCCCCAATGTATAACTGATCACAGTCCTCCTGACACTTAACAGCATACTATATTACTCAGTTTTTGCCAGGGAACTGGATCTTTAGGGTGAACTAATCTTTGTCGTAATGTGTTTTGGGGTTTGAAAGCCACTGGGACTTCATGTTTTGAGAATAAACGTCTCAGTTTCTCTGAAACTCCTGCCACATACGGAATGACGACTGGTTTGGGTCTGGGTTTAGGGTCTTTATTTTCAGCTGGTTGTTGGCTGAAATCCTGTTTGGTTTTCTTGTCTGCTTTCAGAAAAGCCCAGTTAGGATAACCGCACTGCTCCAGGGCCTGTCTTATGTGTGACTTCTTTTTCTCTCTGGCTCCTGGGTTTGTAGGGACACTGTCTGATCTGTGGTACAGAGTTCTGATGACTCCTAACTTGTGTTCCAGTGGGTGATGGGAATCAAAATGCATGATGATCACAGCCACAGAATCAGCCATTCGCAACAACAAAATCCCAGAATTTGAAGCAGAACAACTTAGGAACAAAGTTTCAACCTGTCTCAGCATAGCCAAACCACCACCTTCCAACATCATTAGAGAAGAGAGAGGCTCTCACCACCCTCAGCAAGGACAAGAACATCATCATCCTCCCAGCAGACAAAGGAAGGTCCACAGTCATTCTGAACCAGAAAGACTACCATGAGAAGGTTATGACACTCCTTAGTGACACGAGGAGATTTGAGAGAGGAGTAAAGGAAGCCATCTTTGTGAAGAAAAACCATCCACCATTAAACAGAGGTGGAGGCCT